ATTTATCCTTAAGGGCCCGGGTGGGGAATTAGCTAAGGGGGAGTAGACGAGAACTTGAATACACTTGACACTTGAAAACGAAAAAAAAAAAACAAGAAAAAGAGAGAGTCAAAATAACAATAGTAAAAACACAAGGTACCGATATGGTTTAGATGGGCATGGTTAGTGGATGTCTAAGGAGATTTCCTGGCAAAACCTTATTGGGTCAGTAATGAGTACAACTTTGTCGCGAAGGGAGTTTGAGATGGCTATTGCGTGGGGGCAAAAGGAAGTGCTGAACGCAAGATTTTTGCATGCAATACGCTTGTTGCATCGACTGTGATTAAGGCGTGATGATACTCTGTCAGGTGGAGCAAGGAGGGTGGCATGGAGTATGAATAGTCATAGTAGAATTTACGCAAGAAGCATACCCGAGAATTCAATCTTCGATTAGACAGTAAGGGCAGTTGAAGCGTTTCTTTAAATTGGGTTACACGGATGCCATGGGTATAGGCGCGGATGTGATGAATCGGGCTGCGCGGGTTTGTTTGCCTTCCAGGTTATCAGAGAGGTAAATTTGAGAAGGGTGCCAGATGGATGACGCATATTCAGGCTTTGGTCGGACAGATGTTATGTATGCAACTTTCTTAGGGTGACTGGGTGCGGATATTAAATTACGTTTCAGGTATCCGAGTGTGCGTGATGCCTCTGCAGCGATAATATTATCAACATGTAGTACGCAAGAAAGCGATAAGGTTAAGTGTACTCCAGAGAAGTTATAAGAAGATGATCTATTCATTGGGGTGCCGTCGAGTGATTATAGATACCTATTTGTAGATTTTCTCCACTTAAACGAGACGACCATACACTTGCCCAGGTTGAAAGGCATAAGCCGTTGTTCACAGCAGGTGTTTGTGCTAGGTCGTCCTGCAATATGAGATGATTGACACTCATTGCTGCTTCGTATTAGAGTGTTTTTTTTGTGTTTTTTTTTTTAATAAGGGGCCCCTACGCGTTGGCTTCCCTAAGAATCTTTGGGGTGTTCCGCAGATCACGCGCCAAACTTCCGCACGTGGGGACTGCAACGCCCCCAGCTGCTTGGGGGACCCAAAACTTTGGGGCACCCTATTCTAAAAAAATCTTTCTCGTTTCGACTTTTATTCATTTAGTGTGCCCGTGGCCATGATATAGGGGTATGATCAACAGTAATGAAATAGTGAACATGTTTAGGGGATCAATAAAATTAACGTTATGGTGTTTCACTACGCAGTGAAGAATAGTAAAATAAAATAGCATAGAAAACAAAATGGAAACGCAACCAATATCTAATTCTAAAGGGGAAGGAGAGCAAATGCCCTTCTGCTTTCCGCAGTTGATGAGATCACTCACGTTATGGATGTGTAAGTTTGTCTCCTCATGCCTCGAAAAAAAAGGTCTTAATTGATGGTATGAGACGACCATCTATTACTCGGCGCGTGTTGCCATCGAATCGCAGTGTCGATAGTCTGGGTTTAAAGCGGTTGATCGAACGCCATTTCATCGAAACACGTTTTAGGGAAGGAACACGTTTTGTCGAAGCTCGTTTTAGAGAAGGCGGAGCCTCGGTTTAGAGATTAAGAAGGGTGGAAGGCTAGTGCGTGATTCACTGAAGCGTGTTTACCCCCCCCCCCCCCCCCCTTTCTTTTTCTTCAGTAGACACAAAATGTTTTGCGTCGCTTAATCCCGGATTTTGTTTCCATAAAAACGAATTCGGTAGAAGGAGGCCCGTCGCCATTTTTTCTAAACTGGGTTTCTCTATAAAGGGTATCTATAATCGGGGGTCTCCAAAGAGGCTTTAGGTAAAATGAGCTTCGGTAAAATGAATGCCTCCTAAATAAACTGTGTTCGTCAACATGCACGTCGCGGTACCGTATACTCTAAGTCAGCGGATCTTCGCCAAGTCCCCGGCGGGTTTCTTGGAATGACGTCAAACAGAGCAGCATCCACTCGTTCCGTTCCGGTTCTTTCCCGTCACCAACAACCCATTGACGCGAAGACATGGGGCCACGACGGACGTGCGCGCGTACCGCGAGAACTGGAGTTACGGCGTGCGCTTCGCTTCTTCGAGACCGGCGAAAGGGGCCCTAACCGTGTCGCCGGGCGGCCCTCGTCGACGCGGATTGCAGGAAGAGAGTGCGGTTCGGGCATATCGCGGCCGCTGGCTCTTACCGACGGCGGCCTCCCGCGAGCAGCTGCTACGGTGGCGGCGGCAGCGCACCGTCGGCAACCAAAAACCAGTTTTCCTCGGCGGCCTGCTAGGGCGACGATTGAAAGTGGCTCGTACCGAGGACCGACCAACGTACTCGCGCTCGCGAGCGTGAGTACGTCGGTCTACGGACCGTCTTCTACGGTACGGTGCACTTGCGAGACTGGAAGCCAGTACTGAGCGCGCGTGCCGGCTGTCGTGGGTCGCCGTCGTGGATGAAGCCTGCGATCGCTCCATTCTTTCTGCGAACTTGATAAAAAAAAAGTCTTCTGGAGGCCTCAGAGTGATGCCCGACGTTTCGCCAAGGAACGTAGCTTATTCGGTGAAAACACAGCAGGTAGTGTATAACGAAACTTGTTGTTAAGCTAGCTGGTGCGTGACGCTCGGGAAGCTTGAAAGCGCGAACAAAGACGGACTTGCCGAAGGGGACACGGACAAGCGCTTGTCCGCGTCCCCTTGTTCGTGCTCGTCTTTGTTTGCACTTGCAAGTCTCCTAAACAAAGGTAGTAGTAGCTGGTCCCAGAAAGGACCAGAGCAACTCCTTCCTCAGGATAAGTCCTTTTCAGCAAAACGTCAGCCACTGCTCTGGGGCTTTGAGGAGACTCCTTTTTTCAAGTTCTTCTCACACCAGCTTCGTCCATCCCCCTGTTTCGCTAGGTAGATACGTTGAGTGACTAGCGGACCATATTCGAAACGTTAGGGTTCCTTTCTTTTAGGATGACTTCGTGCGTTTTTTTTTAGGTGTTATGTAAACATAGAAGTTCGTTGGAGAACATAATAGCGCTTCACGACAGGGACGAAGGGTAGGAGCGAGACAACACAATGCGCTAACTTCAACTGGTTTAATCGTCAGAAAATCAAAGGTATAAATACTCTGCATCATCGCGCCATTCAACCAATCCCAAGTAGTACGCGATGATGCAGAGTATTTATACCTTTGATTTTCTGACGATTAAACCAGTTGAAGTTAGCGCATTGTGTTGTCTCGTTCCTACCCTTCGTCCCTGTCGTGAAGCGCTATTATGTTCTCCAAGTTTCAGTACCAACTCGCCCAAGAATCCGCATTACTCATAGAAGTTCGTCATACATTTCACTATCTCGGTTAACTATGCTGACGGTTATTACGAGATTGTATTTCGTATGTGACGCTGTATTGTCATTCAGAGGTTAAGAGACGCAGGGCTGTGCTTGTCCCGAACATCTCATTAGCGCTCCGCAGCCGATGAGATTGGCGCATTAGCGGATAAGAACGCAGAAGAATCAATCACAAAGCTAGAAGCGCGAACACGATAAATCACGCCCGGCGTTTTATAATCTGTCAGTGATTATAGTTATCAACCATTCACGAAGTATTCTAATGTGTCCTCTGTAAAGCACAAGCATGAAGAACCCGCGGCAAATATTGCCGACGTTTCCGAGCCAAGGAGCTATCTCGAAGGCGCGTATACAAGTTGAATGCGCCTCGCGAAAGTACAAAATATCATATGTTTTGACCACGGTATAATGCATGGTCTATATACGTATTAATGCAACGGCGCGTTCCCCATGATGACTGCGTGACTACCTCACAAACCGTGCCTTTGCAAGTGAGCGATAGAAATAAAAAAAAAAAAGGGGGACGAAGCATTGGCGAGCAAAACAAGGCACCCCTTCTATGGCTTATTCGCTCGAGGACCAGCTACCAGGAAACTAGTATTTGCCATGACGTCAACACGGAAATCCAGGCATTTCCTATAGCGATGTTGTGAACAGACTTTCCTCGCTGTGTGCTCTCTCAAACTCTCACGGGTAGCTCAAAAAAAGACCTTACGGTGGTAATAATATAGGCGACCCTGCGGGTGTCTCATCGGTCATGTGGTTTCTATGCTCTCTTAGTGGTTTCGTCACCAGTAACATCGCGAGACCGTTTACTATCTCTCGAAGCAACCGTTGCTCCACCGGGGTGTTTTCATTTTAATGAAAATAATATTTAAACGCAAAGTATCACTTTCGGCCTTCATAGAAGATGATTTGAACTCGGCAATGCAGGTTATTCCAGATATATCAAGTGGATCACAAAAAAGTGCGATGAGGTCAGGCTATTCTGCGGGAATCGATCTTCAAAAAATAATTCAGTTGGGCAGCATTTCCTGAATATTCCGGTTTCTAAACTGTGCCCGCTTCCGAGTCATTGTTACTGACGCGTCTTCTCGAATGCTTTTTAATCCGACGTTAGTGTTTTCTTATTCTTCGTTTCCGGGCCCTAGTCGTATATTTACACACAAGCAAGAGTACTTTGAAGAACTTTTTACTTGATGCATATTTCGCTGAATGCGACAGCTGCGAGTTCGCTGTACTGTAAGCAAAGCGTCGTGCGTCAAGAATTGTAATATAAGAACCATGTAATTATTGAGTAGTGTACGAGTGCGTTTGTTGATCTTTGGGAATTCACTGAAACTAAGTGATATCCAGATGTTCGTGGCCCGAAAACGGAAGATATGCAGATCAAGATATACATATCGCAAATATAAGCTTAGAACGTAAGTAACAGTTTATGCCAAAATAAGAAAGTCACGCTCAGATGATTACAGCAAATGATGTTTATGCGATTATGTGCATTCATTAGATTGCTGCCATGCGTTCCTCGTTACGCCAGGCGCCATAATATAACCTCTTTGAAAGGTTGCTCAAAACGAGTTAATGCAGATTCCGAACGTTGCCCCCTCACCGTGCGCTTCATGTGGCGACCTCAATATGTCACATCGAATCTCTCTCGCGTGGCCGAAGTCCTACTCACCGAGCATGAGGAAGGGCGCTGCCATGTTGATGCCTATAAACTCCAGGCCCAGGTAAATGACCAGGCCGAAACCAGCTATCACGGACACAGCAGCAGACACGCAGCCCAAGATGCCGAGCCATGGCTTGCTCCGCACGGCGTCCGCCATCAGACACGTGGTCACGGTGAAGGCAAGCATGATCACCACTGTGATGCTGAAGAAGGGCGTCACCGTGGTCGTGTTCTTCTCTAGCTCCTCGGCCAGAGACCGCGACGTGAACCAGGCGAGCTTTACGTGCTCCAGCTCCAGAGATTCCATGAGGTCCAGGAAGGCGTACTCCCAGGCTTGAGACCGGAGGTTCGCCTTGCGAGAAGACGTGTCCAGGTAGTAGAACATGGCCATGGCTTCCGCGCTCTTGATGAAGCCGTCCGAGTCGGTCTCGATACCTCCCATCAGCGCACCCGTGAAATAGACCTTCTGTCGCGTCCTGTCGATGCGGAGGGGGTATTCCAGCTTGAAGGTTCCGTTCTCGATCTGGTCGATGTACGGATAGAAGTCCAGCATTTCGTTCGGGTAGCAGGGACGCCCGTTGCGGGCGCATATCTGCTCGTAGGTCCAGATGTCATCGTCCCAGAGGACGGTCATGTTCTTGATTATCTGGTCCAGCATGATGATCTCGTCCCACACTTTCCTGCTGAGCAGATTCTTGCCGTTCTTGGTGACCACTATCAAGCGGCCGAACTTCTCGGGCTTGGTCTGGCGGCCGATGTCGAAGTTGTACGAGGTGTTCTGCGGGAAAAGCGCCTCGACGACGCGGCGCTCGTCGTGCGAGCGCCCGTTCACGGGGCTGAACAGGTACTCCGGGTCGTCGACGTAGATCATACGCTGGATCCCCGTGGCCAAGCACATGGCTACCAGCAGGGGCACGATGATGAAGTATCCCGGATACTTGGCGATGAACTCGCCCACCACCTGAAAAAGCCATGAGACGGCCCGGTCTACGCAGTCCATACGCATGGTGCAGCACCTCGTCCGGCGGGTCTCCTGAGTGCTTGTGAGGGGCGCCGATCGACAGCCTGCCAAGCGACGCCGGGGAAAGGGCGACGCTGGGGAACTTCCTCGCCGGGAGGCGGTCCTTTCTTCCGCCGGGGAGAAAGCAGCAGTCGGCAAGGTCGGCGCTGCTCTCGGTCCGACTCACCTGGTGGTGGCTCCCCGCCGGCTAGGGGGGTCATCCGCCGATGCCCGCATCTCGTGCCCTCGCGCACCAGGCCGGTCGGTGATTGGCAGGACGTGAGCGATGTCCGCACTAGGGTGCCTACATGTTTCCGCTCTGAAGCGGCGGAAACGTGTAGGCACCCTAGTCCGCACCCTTGTGCTTCGCCAAGCACAATGGCGGAGACTCCCTTAAAAGGATTTCTTGTTTATCACAGGTCTTTGACAAAAGTTTTGCTAGGGCTTTGTAAAAACATGTTTTGAGGTAACTATAATGTTTGTTACACCGAAATAGACACACGAAATTTCGCTTTAACTACCACGCGTAAAAAATAATTAACAAGACAGCTTTACACTTTTCCGCACAGTATTGAATTCCTGGCTTGATGAACTGAAATGTACTGGCTTCATAAAACATACAGTTCCTGCATCACGAGCGTATTGGAATCGCGAAAAAAAAAACTTTTCCCCGGAGGCATAATGTAGGGGGACCATTGTAGGTTTTAGACTTCGTTGTTCTTCCTTAATTTTATTATTATTACTTTGTCCCGGGTTTACTACAGCAGGGTACAATGTTCTATTTGCGATTTTGCAATATATTTAAGATTCAATCAGCCTTAACGTGAGAGATATCGACCTTATCAAATAAGTGACTAAAATAATGAGTAAGTTGGTTACCATTATTATTTGGTGCACAAGCATATTCAAAACAAAACTTAAAACGAAAAAAAAAAGTCTTTCGAATACAGAAAAAAAAATCTTTCAGAAACCAAGGATCCAAGGTCGGGGTACTGAATACATTGTTGAGATAAGCCAGTCGGCAGCAGATAGGCATGATCTGATTTGAATACAACAAACGATAGCTCTTTCGGACTTCCGCACCATCGGCGTCCTCATCGACGAAAGCTGACACTGCGCTCAAATACAAAATAAAGAAAAAGAGCAGAAAAAAAAGGAACACACTTTAACGACATTTACTTTAAGAAGTCAAACTAGCCGGAAGGCAGCGAGCAATTTTCTTCTTCCGCATTTTTGGTTTCTTCCGCCTCTTTATTTTAAGACCCGCTCCGGGCCACTTGGACATTCCCCGCCAACGCGCCGCACCCCTCGGCCCTGAACCTCGCTTAACCTAATCTCGGCTTACCAGATCCGACGGGAGATCGAAGTGCCGGAAACCTGCCCACAGCGTTCGCGATAGAACGACACAAGCCTCCCCCCTGTTTGGCATTTGCCCTGTTCGTGTTTGTACCATGCACGTCCTCTGGCTGCATACGCTAAACCAATTCCTCTTTGGCAAAGTTGGCTACCGATGCTTCTCGCCTTTCGGGACCTCTCCACAGTCCCGCTTCAGGCTCTACACTCCATTTAGTCTTAAGCGGACAGTGCAGTAGACACTCGTCGGAGCAGTCATGCGTATAACTCTCGCCACGTGATCACGCTCCCGCCCACCCACGCGCTGAGAGTGGGGCCAGGGGATGAAAGGAAGAAGGCTGATCGGTCCGGCGAGGGCGTAGCTTCCACCACGCTTTCAGCTTAGGGTTGAATGGTTCGTGTGTTTTGGGACGTCTCTGGAAGCCCTTGGGAGGTGAGGTGTGCGAGTCTAATCGTCTAATGCCCCCATTCAGCCTTGGTGACGGGGTTGAAACGAAAGGGGGTTCTCGCGCATGCCTTTCCCGTCGTCGCGTTGATGTCTCCTCCAAGCTTCAGAGCGTGTCCAAGGTCGGGAGATGACCACTCTTAAGCTGACCGTGCGGTGGGAGCTACGCGCACGCCCGACCAATCAAACCGCCTTCCTCTCATCACATGGACTCGCTCTCTGCGTGTAGGTGTGGCGAGAGCCTGATCACGTGGCGAAAAAAAAAACGACGTAGGACTAGTCCATCGAGCTCGTGGCTTCCAACGCCCTGTCAGCTTAGGGGCCAACGAAGCTTAGTTGATGGACGGGCTGATACCGGGGACTCATCTCCCTGTGCCCATCGGACGACGATGCGTCAGCGGCTGTTGTACTGAGTACAACAGCCAAGCGCACGTGGCATTCTCTATGCCTAATGTTCTGGTGGAATTTCGTTCAGACACGGACTCTAGTTTCCCTTGTCAAGGCTGCGGTTTTTACTCAAAACGGTGTGCAGGTCAATGATTTTAAAATATCTAAATGAAAACATTGTTTTCTCCTCAATATCCGTTGAAAGTAAAAGTCCGGCTTCTCGCGGAGCATTACTGATTTATTCCTCCATGTGCTGAATTAAGATGTATGTGGATAAATTTTAGATTGGCTTACCATTATTTTATCAAGACGTATACCAAAAGCCAAAAGTATTGTTTCTTTCTCCCACAACCGAATCTTGCGGCAACTATTTCGTGCAGCGTTTGAATAATGTGCAAAACTTTCTTTTTGCTTGATATGACGACGACTATACATGTTTCACGTTTTTATCTGTTTTGTTTCTCTCTCTTTTTCTTTCAACCTGCTCAGATAGTTATGTCTGCCCCTCCCCGTCCCCCCCCCCCCCCCCCCCCCAAAAAAAAAAAAAATTAAATAAAAAGAACATTTTTTTAAGTGTGTTGTGCGCACTTTAAAGTGTGTTTTAAAGTGTGTTGTGCGCACTTTTAAAGTTTGTTGTCCAGAAAGATATTTAGCCTCAACGGTCGACGGGTGTCTGCGCTGCACATTAGAAATTCAGCCAGTGCGCTACGACTGTTAGCCTAGCGGTTTTGAAAGTGGTGCATCCAGAAGTATTGATCACACGAGCGCACGCCGGTACTATGGTCATCCAGATAGAAACGGACATGATTGAGCCGATGGTTCCTGGCATATGTCTCTGGGCTCTGAGGTGCGAGCTTTCGATTCACGTGCCCGGAGCTACGGTGCGTTACCACACTCCGCCACCGATTCCCTACTTATGGTTCCTGCGATCTTTCGAAAACGAAGGAACAAACAACTTTAGAGATGCACATTAAAAATGCGAGGTGTCCCTTTGAAAATGTCTCTTGAGGAAAAATGGCGGGTTCGTTACACTTCTTTTGTAAAGAAGCTTACGCCTCGTGCGTCAGAACAAAAATAATTACTCAGAAAATATCTCAAGGAAACTTCATGACATCCTCTAGCTCTTTGTCTAGCTCTTTGTCGGCACGGTAGGGTTTCGTGGATGACAGCAAGGTGACGCAGTAAACTTACAACCTAGGCACGCATGGGGCACTAAAAGAAATAATATAATCGAAAGACTGGAAGTGCGGACAAACCCGACTGTGCACGTGACCTCGCAGAGTTCGCCGAGCCGCTGACTAAGTAGACTGGAAACGCTTTATTCATGAGTCCAGAGCGATGCGAGGCTTACGGCCGGATTCATGAACGTTACTCGACTCGAAACTCCACTTAAACTCCACTTGAGAACGGTCTTATGCTTCATAGTTTGAACTAGACTCGAAACGCCGCTTGACTAAGGATATACTCAACAATTTCCTCCAAAATCTCAAGGTATACCCTCAGAGCTACCTCGAGATTTTCCTCGAGACTCGATGTGTTTCTTGGGTGTCCTGACGGCCGACACATCATTCAACGAGTTTGTAGGTTTTGTCCTCAGAACACACAATTTCCTGCACCAAAGCGTCAATCAGAGGGGTTGTTTCAGAAACCGGCTAAGCTTGATGGAGGTGTTCAACAACCGCGAATTTTTCTGGAGCTACATGCTTTACGAAAGCGACGATGATCAGCCTCCTGAAGTCCTTGAAGTCCCTGTCGCTGGAGGAGTACGAGGACAGTCGTGGTCTGCGGTCCCTCCAATACTCCAGCTCTTGATCGTGCTGCAGTTCTACCGCGCTGGGACATTCAGGTGCACGGTAACCGGCGTCCTGGTAAATGTGTCGCGGCTCACAATGTGGCGGGTCATAATTGTCGTGGTTGACCCCCAGCACGTTGTACCTCCGTCTTGTCAAGTTCACAGAGATCGCGGCGGACTTAGACTTTGTGATGTGAGAACTTGACCAGCTTAACTTATGGAGTAAACTTTTGTGTTCGGCACTGTATGGGTGAAATGTGCCAAAAAAGGAAATTCGCATCGCGCTGATCTGATGTGTTGAGCCAGGTACACAAGCCCCTGAGGATTAGACCGGCTAGTTATTGTACTTCATGAAGATGCATGTGTTACAAATAAATATTCCATTCTACTCTATTTTATTTTAAATGGCCATATCCATACAGTACCATTTGACAGATTGGCTAGTTCGGGCAAGAGTGATGGTCGTACCAGCCATGCATTAATAAACATCTTTTCAAACAACGTTATGAGAGCTTCCGTCGAGTTAACGATTGCGAGACACCTCGGCAATCGTGCATTAGGAATGCAAACTAATTAGAGGAATAGCTCCGCAGACGACATAAGAAGCATGAATGTCATGCTGACTCGCGGTCGTATCAACACCTAATTTTAAGAAAACGTAGTCGAATGCTGCCGTGTGCACAGACCTTATCTTTTTTTCAAGCTCTGAAGCTACATGCAGCCTTGAAAACATGCTAGAGCAGATTCAATATGTCCCTCAGCAGCAGTTACGAACAATCTATAAAAATAAAATTTCATGCTCGCACTGAAATTATTATGTTGAATATTCGGGCCTCACTGGAACATTCATTATTATGTTTGTGCCAGATGACTGGTTTCGCGGTAACACAAATACATAAAATATGCTAGCCGTCGTCAAGTGGCATCACTACTTGGTATGAATGTTACGGCTGTATTTCAGAGGACGCCAACGATGAGAACAGATCTAGTTAGCAACATCCAGTTAAAACAACACAAAGCAGAAAACAC